CAAGCAACATTCGCTGCGGAATGCATTGCTCGCCTAATCTGATCCCACTGCTCATGTACATCACCACGATGAGGCGCACTTAGCTTACGTACTAGCTCTGACTCATGAGTGCATGAACTGCTTAGCAGATAGTTGTTGATGAGCTATCCGAGCTTGCTGGTTTTGTCGCCGACCAGTCAGTCAGAGAGTGAACTGCATCAGAACTAACGCAGGTGGTCCAATAGGACCTGTAATTTTGCACTGATTCACGCCAACGGTAACTTACTGTTATGTGGTCGATTCGAGTTAGCGTACCAGTTGAACTGGAGCGCCACGTTGCCGTCCGTTGAGAGCTGTGTCTGAAGTTGAAGCTTGATAGGAACAGATGATGGTCTGTGCAGAACTGAAGAAGTCGATCGCCTTTAGCCTTTAGTTCTAACAAGAACCTAACCGCAAGGCAGCGGGTGAGGCGAAGTGGAGGCCAATCTATTTGGACCGATTACTCCTCCACCGTTTTTTATCGACTGAAACGCCAAATTCCAGGAGAACCCCCAACCTGGAGGATCAGGAGACTGAACTTCGTCTGATCTCTACTCATTGACCTTCCAGGCATGATAAGATCTCCTGGCTTTATGAAGCCATCCTGTGTAGCTCGTTGGGTCACAGAGGTGCACAAGCCATTACACCACGTCAAGGTGTAGTCTCGTCGTCCGATACCGTTTAGGGAGACATCCGTGAACAACCGGCAGGATTCTGACCAGGTCGCGTTTGTATCGATCAAATCTTCACTCTGCGTCAAGTCCTCGAGCTACGCCATACGCACCAACCGTTGTCGTGTTCCTTGATCTGAAAGGAGCCTTTGACTCAGTTGATCGTGAATCCTTTATAGGTTCGCTCCTTCGCAAAGGAATGCCCCAGAAGTACGTGAACATACTGAGTTTACTCTACTCGCATATTTCTGGTAGCGTAGGGGTTTACGGCGAGCTGAGTAGGTCGCTCGTAACTGGCAGCGGTGTCCGTCAAGGGTGCCCTCTTTCGCCATTCCTGTTCAATTTCGTAATAGACGAAGTATTGGAGAACGGAATAAGTAGTCTCCAAAATTTAGGTATTGAATGGACAGCCGGAGAAAATCTGTGCGATGTAGAGTAGACTGACGACATCGTTTGCCTGTTCGACCATATGGAAGATGTACAGAACGCACGTGACAGAGTTGCAAGTTCTGGCGTTCCGTTGGGCATGCGCTTTTCTACCTTCGAAGTGCAAAATGATACTGCAAGACTGGATGTCACCGAGTCGCGTTCTGACAGTAGATGGTCAGGAATTAGCTGAAGATAACTGCTTCTTGTATCTGAGTAGCTGCACGATCAACGACGGTGGCACATCAATGAGATGACCACCCGCGTTCCAAAGGCTCGAGAAACGTACGTAGGACCAAAAACCCTGTGGCGAAGACGTGAAGTCTCACCGAATTTGAGAAGTCGCGTATACTGCGCCACTGTACGATCAGTTCTGCTTTAGGGTTGTGAGACCTTTAATTTGCGAGTAGAAGACATCCGTCACCTAGTGGTTTTGAACAATCGATGCTTGCGTAGCCTGGCCTAAGTGGGATGGAGTGAGCGGGTAAGTAACCTTGAAGTAAGTCGTCGGGTGTTTGAGAATGCCTCGAACAAGAACTCGCTATCGCCTCGAATTAAGCATAATAGGCTCCGTTGGTTAGGATACGTTTTGCGTATGTCTGACGTTCGTTTACCGCATCGCGCCTTATTCGCAGTGGCTGTTGCAGGCTGGAGAAAACCACTTAGAGGCCAGCAGATGACGTGGGGAGGAGGCATGAAGAAATGCACAGCAATTAGGTAGAGTAGGTGTCCGTCGTCTTCCGGGTTGGGGTCCAAAAGACTCCATAACGGCATGGTTGTAGACACTTCAGGTGAATCCGGGTTGCGTAACATGTTATGTATGTTCAGTTGTACTGTGTATTCCGCGCGTTGACTTGAAAGGTTCGTTTTCTCCCCCAATAGAAATATGTGTATTGTACCTATATGTTCTCTTTTTCCTTGTGTAGGATGTGAGTGTGGCAGCGATCAGCGACGTTTTGGTAACTGTATCCTGGTGTACAATGAGCGTGATAATGATGAATCTCTAATTGGGATATCAATACGTCGTTACACATTACGTTCAGGGGTTGTTTCCCTTTTTTGTGTTTCCCTCAAGGTTCGAGAACCAGGTGATGTGATTGTGATGCATCGTCTGGTTATCAATGAATTCCGCGGTCATGTCCAAGGTTGTGGTTACGCCAGTACCGGATTTACCGCGGCCGTGTTTTCTGGTCAGATCAACGATCCGCTTACACCTCGACACTGTCCAGTTGCATGCAGCGTAAGTTGTGATTACAAAGCAACACCCAAATTTGATAGCCCTCTACGGATAAACCGTTATGCACACTTGTAAATTCTGATCGATTCTATCCAGTTAAGCTCCCCCTCGCTGTTGCTTGAATTCCCTCGCGTTTTTGTTGCAGTTCAATTAGCTGTAGGGTAATGCTAGCTGGTTTGCATGTATCCGTATTTGTGCGTCTTTGTACTATCTGACATGTTCCGTAACATTTGATGGAATCATTTCTTGTGTTACATTACTTAATTTTGTTTACTTTTGAGCTGCTAATTCCTATGGGACGATAAGTTGACTTCTTGCATGTCTCGAATGATGGCACCCCGCATGTAACGATCGTCGGCAAGGTTTGCGCAGTTACGGTTTCATTTACGAATTCCATGTACAGGCTGGAAGCTCGTTAGTTCCATATCAGGCAAGTCGGAAGACAAACACTACAAGAGAAATTCCTTTCGTATACTCTCATCGGTCGTATAACAACAAACAAGATGGACAAATGAAGCGAATTAAGAAATCTAGTTGGTTTTAACCATGTGTGCTTGTGTGATTGTGTACAGTGTGTGATGCACGTGATTGGTTACAGCCAGGGAAGGCCAAGGGTAAAGATCATACGCGTTTGGAAGCACAGTGTGGGTTTGTTGTGAGCGGTCGATAGTACCTCGAGTATCCTTAGTCGGTGTTTTTCTCGGTGACGTAACAAAACCGAGAACACGTTCGTAAGGTCTACCTTATGGCCGCTTTCAACCAAGTGACTTGCTATTCTAGTTCGCAGTGATCGGTCGGTTCTAACAATGTATGCTTCGTTGCATCTGCAACAGAAGACGTAAATGCAATCAGAGGTAGGCTCGACTGGACGACAGTCGTCCACTGTACACAATCACACACGCATACACACATATGGTTAATACTAGCTAGATTTCCTAATTCACTTCATTTGTCTTTCTTGTTCGTTGTTATACGTACGCGACCGATGAGGGTATATGAAAAGAATTCCTCTTGCTGGATTTGTCTTCTGACGTGTCTGTTCAAATTCATTACGGGATCCATCCATGACAGCAACAACAGCCTACAGCAACGGCCTACCACAGAGGGGTTGAGTATCGGAACTTCGTAGCACATGGCCAAACCACTGAAGGTGCCAGCCTTGCAACATTTTGGAAAGCTTTCCGATATTCGAGTATCACCGTCGAACCTCATTACTGGATATCCGAACTCTCCAATTTACTTTCGAGATGCGGCGTAAGCACTGATTATCCACGACACTATTCCAGCTACGACCAAGTAGTTTGTTTGTTCCTTTATTATGATGACCATTGCACTGTAATTTCTTTGGCTCAGTCTGAATTATAAATTAGGAAACTCGAAAACTGATCTAGGAAATAATTGGCTTGAGTCATTCTTTTATTTACTCGGATTACTTCTTCACTCAAATCTGTATGCTAAGCTGTGCACAGAAAACGTTTTTATATCTCCGTCCAGTTCGGAATAGATACATGAGCAAAAGGATATAGGGAAATACGATGCAAGGTGAGATGTATATACGTAGCTGTCAAAATTCCGATTTCTTTCATTTTCAATCAGTTCTGTTTTTCTGGACACATGGCATGCTCCATCAAAGTGCTTCACCTCAATTAGAGGCCTTATTAAGAAGAAAGCTCAGTTACCATTCACATCATTCTGTTCATTCATAGAGCGATGATATGTGTGACTTTGTGTTTAAGAGGTTCAAAGAAAATTTGTTCAAATCACATCGTTTAGTGGATTTCCGTGACATGTGATCTTATGATGTGAATGTGAAAAGATCACTAATCTCGGTAGTATTCAAACTCACGCGCCGAAGCCTCTGTTACTTTACTATATTCACTCTCCCATTTTGGCTACTGTGAGTAGAAAACAAAATAAATTTAGTCCAGCGAGTTCCTTTGGGGAGGACTAAGCAAACCTGTAACAAAGACCCGATATAGTGAGAATATTTTGATTACAATTACCAAATTACAGACTGAGTTCCCTTTCCAAGTGGGCGGGTCAATAACAGAGTTGAGTATCTCTGAAGATAGCATCTCAACGAACTTAAATTGGTTATTTTCACCAGCCTGTTTATGAGCTGGTTGTCAGAGTGGTAACACAGGCATTCCATGCTAGGAGGCGGTGAATATGGGCTTTCTGATGTGCTTACAAACGAGACCATCCTGAAGAGACTGCACCTTGACGTGATTTAATGGCTTGCGTGCCTCCATGACCCTGCGAGGTATACAGGATAGCTCGTCACAGCCGCGGATCCAATCATGCCTAAAATGTCAATGAGTAGAGGACAGACGATGCTCAGTCTCATAAGGCCAGCTGCTTGGGCACCTCCTGGCCTCCCCCGACTATCCACTTTCGCCACTGGAGGGGTCACTCCAGTCAAAAAACACGGTGAGGGGCAGTTTACCGGTCGAAAACCCCGCTATATGGACGTAGGAGCAGGGGAGGGCTTCCTCCTGATAATGGTAAAAGTCTTTGTATTTCACTGGACAGCTACCACCCACCCAAGCTGAGCAGCCCCCCAACCAATAAAGTGTTGTCCCCTCCACGTTCCGCTTATCTCATTGAGCGCATGAGGCTAAGGGCTGATCCCGAAAGGCGGACCGATAATCAGCGCACCAGCAAATAAACACTGAACGGAAATCCGAAGACCTTGCGTGGCAGGTCTCTAGAAGCTTCCACATGGGTGCTTCACTCACCCTCCGCCGCTGGATCTACACCCCACCGCCTTACTTGAAAACCCCCAACCTTTCTACAGCAATGGACCCAAATCGACCACATTACCATCAGTTGCCGCTGAAGGGGGTCAGTTAAAGACTGCTGCTCTTACTGGTCAACACCCATGGATACGGATCATGCTTTAGTACGAGCCAGATTATCACTACGCCTGGTAAACAGCCACCAGCAACGGATACCCACGACATACTGTCAGCGATAGTTGCAAATCGGCCTTCGAAGAAGGGCTCTCCGATCAGCTATCAGTTCAATCACCATCTGAAGCACGCAATGGACACTGGAACCAAATCAAAGAAGCTATGCGAATATAGATAAAAACAGCAGCGGACTCTGGTGCAGGTTCTAAACACAAACCCGCAGAAGTCTTCATCGCGATGCCACATGTGACAGCGTGCAAATCCGTTAAATCACAGCTCATCAAGGGTCTGAGTAATAACCGCGAGAAGTGGTGGGTTGGGAAGTGTAGAGAAGTAAAGGAAGCTGGAACTATTGGTAACACTTTTCCGTCTAAATAGGAACACGGGCCCCGGGAAAATAGGCGTGTGTCATGTAATTAATTAAGGAAACCGATGGCACACTGATTCATCGTCAGCGTCGCCGTCTCAATAGAGGGGCTGAACATTTCAAGGATCAGTTCGAATGGCTACCATGGACATCTGATCTATCACCCCACCTCGACTGGTCAAATACCCCCACTTGATGCCAGTCCTCCATCTGAAATGGAGGTTCCCCAAGAATTAGGTTAGCTCAAGAGGCATAGGTTCCGGTCCTGATGGGCTGTCCCAATCGGATTTTAAGGATGGAGGTTCAGCCTTGGTTGTGAGGTTAACGAAACTCCTGAACTCAGTATGGGAAAGAGAACAGGTTGCAACCAAATCGTGCGAATCGGTGATCATACCGAGTTACAAGAAAGGTGACAGGTCCTCCTGTGAAAAGCACAGAGGAATTAATTTAATCAACATCGTTTCTAAACTTCTCGCTGGTATTAAACTCCGTCAGTTGTCTGCCACACGTGAACGGTACACGCGTTAGAACCAGGTTGGTTTTAGACCCGGTCGATGTTGTATCGACCACATCTTCACTCTTCGTCAAATTCCAGAACACAGACACTCCTTTCGTAGACCCACCATTTCTATCTTCCTCGATCTGAAAGCGGCTTTCGACCGGTCTAAACCCTAGCGCTGCCTCGCTTTAAAGGTTGTGCCTGAGAAGTTTATTTCAATATTACAATTCCTGTATACTAATAGTCAAAGCCGACTCCGGCACTTTTTCACTCGAGTTCATTACAGAAAGTGGTGTTCGACAGGGTTGCGCTCTCTCTCCGTTTCTGTTTAACTTCGTGATAGATTTACTTTTTGAAACAGCCCTATCCTCGTGTGAGGATAGCAGTATTGATTTACTCACAGGTGGCAGACTATCTGATCTAGAGTATGCAGACGACGTTATGCTACTAAGCAAAGATGCAGGTAAGCTGCAAGCTTTTCCGGTCAGTTTGAGTGCTAGTATAGCGATGTTCAGCATGCATTTTGTACCTTCAAAGTGTTAAATGTTGCTACAAGATTGCGTTGGTCCAGCCTCCAACCACACGCTGACTGGGGAAGTAACAAATGAAGTAGATACATTTTGGTATCTGGGCAGCTATATCTCATCTGGCGGACGCATCACAGATAGAGTGTCGGCGCGCAAACAGAAGGCTCGGTTGGTATTTGCCAACTTGAGACATTTATGGCGCCATCGCGACATCCGGCTGTCTGTGAAAGGTCGAGTATATGCTGCAGCAGTTCTGCCAGTGCTGCTCTTCGGTGCAGAGACGTGGCTACTACGGGAACAGAATAAAAATGGACTGTCGGTTTTCGAACACCGCTGTCAACGTCGCATTGTACGAATCTGGTGGGGCAGCCGGACGAGCAATGCTGAGGTTAGGCGTAGAGTTTCAGGTAATCGTGATCGTTCTCCGGCCCAAATAGTCGACGTTATTCGCGTTTGTGCATCTGAATTTCTGTGCAACCTTAATCCACTGAAATTCTCCATTTTCGCTTTGACGGTGCCTACAACTTCCCTGTCTTCTACTCCTTAGTCGAAATGGGCAGCTAAATGACAGCAACAAAAACGGGCGCACGAAAGTGCAGGGTAAGGATTGTGCAAGCTGAAAGTGAAACTTAAAGTTGTGATCAACTTCCAGCCTGATGTACGACTGACTGATTAAATGAGGGTTATGCGCAAGATGACGTCTATTGATACTGCTAGTGAAAACTGGTAATTCGCATCCCGCAACCCTCTTTGTGAGTAAATAAGTTATATGAAAATAAACTTAATTCGGCCTCCAATGACTTGGATGATAGTTATAAACCACCGCTATGTTTAAGGAAACAGTTTTTGTGAACAAGGGCTCCTACTCTGGGGATAAGCATTCAATATTATGATGTAATCTGCGTTAACCTTCATCCAAGGTTGCGCGCTGTAAACTGAATATCTTCTTTCTCTGCACACTGTCATCACATTGTCATATTGAAAAGTTTTTCTTAGTCAGTTATTTGTGAACCAAATCTCGTTTTATTCCATTGGTGCCTATTACGCTTTCAGCTTGACGAGCCGGAGTTGGACCGTGTGAAAGAACTGCGCAATTGGTATCATTCACCGGCATGTCCCGTCGAACGGGAACGGGCTAATCCACTCGAGCCGTCTTGCTCAACTCTTCTCGGTCTGGACGCATCCAGACCAGTTGGAAATGGCTCTTTATTCACAGTTTCCCAACCTGTTTCAGTCAAACGACTTTGGGGTTTAAGTGCCGAAAAATTCGTTTCTGTCCAGGGTCAGGTTAGTTTTTGGCGCTCATTATCGTGGTCAATTAGATTATATTACTTGTGCTGCTCAGTCTTTCTTTTCTTACGTACAGCTTTGACTATTTTTCGCGGTTAGACTATGACCTTTAGTGATCAGTTGCTCGTCCACCGAACTGATATAGTTAGGGGCGTCTAGTGTGAAATGTTTGCAGGATCATCGAGTCAGGCTCTTCTTTCTTTTATTTCTATTTTTTTGAAGATGTAAATATAAAATGACAAGCCATTTCCGAGATAGGAGAGCCAACCAATTAAAGGGCTGTCGTACATGATGGAACTCGAGCGCACATCCTACGAGGTGATAAATTGGTTACCGTAACCGCTTGATCATCTTGAAATTACTTTCTGGTAAATGCAAACGCAAGCATTGTGCCAATGTTGTAATAGGACTTTGACGTGCCACTCCCCATACTGGTGTTTCGAGTCAAGTCAAGAGAAGCCTAATCCACCCGAAACATGAATTTTCAGCAATTTTTACGAGAGTGCAGTGGAAACAGAAAAAAACGGAAGGGAGTGCAGAGGGGCTTAAACAAAACGCTGTGATCAGTAAGATGATAGCATTAATTGAAAAAAGAACTCATGAGATGGTCAACCAAACCTGCAGTAATTGGTGCCCGGTTGACTTAAAAAACCGGCATGATAAGGGGGGACGCTGTTTCTCTATGTGGTATTAAAAATAAAATCCGATAGGCGAAACAAGCGGCTTTTCGGTAAATTCATCATCTGGCCGTTTACATCTACATGGATAGAGCATTCAACATTGATCCAGTGTTTCAGTTACAGTTTGTACAACCATTAGCCATGTACTATCGTGCGCCGGTTTTGGTTGCTATCTTTCGGCTGCCCATTTGAATGAACATTAGGAGAAAGACAGGAAAGGTTGAAAGTAAGATCGAAGGGAAAATTGAGAAATTCAGTGGACTAATGATACAGAGAAATTGAAAAGATGCACGAAGCCACTGTTTACGACACTCAGCCATATCACTCAGTGTCTCTAACCATCGGGTACGACTATCCAGAGGTCCCCATCTAGGGGGCCTAACGGACCTATGTGACCCAGACTCTTGTTTAGGGTCTTCATACCTTCATGCCAGGTCTTAGCTTGATCACCCTGGGCTTTATTCCACCCACTACCTGCCTCGGCAAACATCGCTCGCCGTGGCAACCTATCTGGTGGCACACGAAGCATTTTGATTGAGCCTCACCTTGTTTACGGCATTCTTCCAGTTACTTTGCTTGCATCAGTTTGTCGCTTTCCCGCTGGCCATGGTAAAGTGAATGCCTGAATGAAACGCTTCTGTTTAGTGGTGCGTGCAGGAAGGAGCTTATAATGGGAGCGGATACGGGGGTTGGACATAGGTATAAAAAGTTCGCTGTGCAAGCAGTGTTCGTTTTTGATCAAGATTCTACTAGCGATTCTTTCGTATGCTTGCACACAACTTCTGGCTATACCACTGCTTCGATAAAGGAGTTTGAAAGATCTGGAGACTAACACGAAATCTTCTAATCCGGAATAACACAGTGTATTGTTCCCCGATTATTTTTCCCGGTTTACTCAAACACGATTTCAAAGTTTTACTTCGCGGTCTAACCATTATTAGTCGTGCCTCTTCTATTCCTGTGAATGAATAAGCTGTAAAGCTTTCAGAGTATCACGTAACTTCCTGTGTGAAATTTGCTGAGAGGATTCTCACAGATCCTGACCACCCATTGCATGCAAAATCGACACTTTGTCGTTCCCATCATTCAACACGCTCCCGATTCCGCCAAATTTCATGTCGAATTAATGCATACCGCAATTCACCCATACCGTATCTTGCTCGTCTACTCATAAACAAAGAGCGGACAATGAGTGAACTTTGAATCTTGGATTATGAAATGTCCCCATGCCTGTAAAAACTTTTCTCTCCGTTGGTTATGTACATTGTGATGGTTAGCATGTATGATTTTTTAAAACTGAAATCTGAGCTTTAGTGCTTGCAAAAGTTATACACAATACAATACACCATACACAGTCGACGAGGGGGGATGCGCACGACCACAAATTTTGAAAACACATTCGTGCGAACAGCAAACTTCCTAAGCCTGAAAGCATCATCATCATCGTCATCATCATCATTATCATCATCATCATTGTACAGCGTAATACAGTAGTGAAGCGAACTTCACTGATCGCTGCCGAACTCATTATCTCTACAAGATAACTGAGAATGTGTAAGGAGGACAGGAATTAGGCCTATTTTTAGGGACGGAAAAAGAAAGCGAACCTCTGTGGTCAACACACAGAGTACACAGTCCAACTGTGCATACATACTAGTTCAAGCATTCTCGTCTGATAAGAAGCGACAGCGTGATCGCCATTGCTGTCGGTTTGCAGCCATGACCTTCAGTATCTCCAACCGTGCGGTTTCGGAGTCTTTTGGACCCCAACCCGGAAGACGACGGACACCTACTCTACTTAATCGCTCGGTGCATTGATTCATGCTTCGTCTCTACATCATCTGCTAGCTTCCACGTAGCTTTCTCCAGCCTAACAGCCACTGCAAACAAGGTGCGCTACGGTAGGCGACCGTCGAACATACGCAAAACGTGTCCTAACCAACGGAGCCTACTGAGCTGGATTCGATGAGCTAGCGAGTTCTTGTCCGATGTATTCCCAAACACCCAAACGACGCCAAGGTTTCTCACAGTCAGCTTTGGGAGTATTGTGACTGTTAACGGCGAGTTGAGGTAGATCAATAAAATCAGTTTGAAAATTGCAACCGGATTTAGGGTTGAAAGGATCATCAACCTGTTTTTAAAACGTTAAGCATGAGAGGCCAGGACAGAAACCAACTAAAAGCGTTCTAACTGTCTTGACGTTGGTGGAAAAATACATCGGTATTGAAGGTGCACCCAATCACCACATCGTCAGCATTTTTGCAAGCAGTGGAGTTGGTAGAAACAGGCAGGTTGTTTATGTACAAGGAAAGAATGGAGACAAAATGGCGCCCTGAAAAACACCAGAGTTAACGTTAGAGGAGGACGAAGTTTTACCATTGCGTGAGATAACTTGCTTTCTGAGAGAGAAGTAGTTTAGAAGAATGTTTAACACGTCGGATCCTAAGCCTCAGTCAGCGAGACATTGAATGAGAGAATACCAATCGTATTTACTTCCTATTTTTACAAATAGTTTCAAGAACCTGTTTGATTTTGCTCAGTGATTGTCAGTAAACATTGTTTCAACCCGCAGGTAGTCAGTATTTATCGACACACAAACGGAAATCATTGTGTTGTCCTTTACTTGTGGGATGGTCCTCCACCCACATATACTAGTCGCGCAGACACCACCGGAACATTAGCTCCTGGCCGTTCTCGATATTTTGGTGTGTCCCGGGACTATTTAACGTTTCTCAGTGCGACATCCGAACATCAGCCGGAACTGGTCGCTATCACCGCGCATGGGTTCACTGAAGAGGAGGCTGCCGATTGTAGCCTCAGCTTGTGGTCTGTTCCGGTCGTGGTCTATGACGAACACGCTACGAACTCCACCATGACCGATTTGAGACCGGGCGATCTTGTTCAGATCAACAACGTTCACGTTGACTTTTGCCGACAGGTAACTTTGTATTCGATGGTAATATGGAATTGATGTCACATGCTCTTTTAAAAAAAACTATTTAATCGGATCGAGCGGGGGGAGGATGATTTTATTGTTTCCTTCACTAAATAATCCTCAAGAGTTGTTTAGATCAGAGTGAAACACGGGGCGGGACAAATAAACACTCTTACATGATGGTCCCCGAGTTTAGTGGTTTCTCAGTAGCGTATTTATTACCCGTTAAAAACTACCATAAGAGGCTTCATTTGAACTGCTCATCTCCTTTTTTGAAGCAAAAGGTGCATTATTGTGAAAGTTTCACCAGCCTCATTTCATCGCTTGCCTTTTATTAGATTTACTCTTCAAAATAACACTAACTTTTTGATTTAATATTGTTGTTTAAGAAGAGAACTGTTGTAGTATACTGCCTAGAACCACGGTGCAAGGAGCGTGTATCACAACCCCAAGGTACGGCAAAGAATAAACCGTCATTGAGCTAATGTTAAGCCGGTCGAGTTTAGGAGATTATTGATTTATCTGAAGTGGATTAAAATCTAGTCGTATGACATCTTGAGTCAGATCCGGCTGCGAGTTGGTCTTCCGCAACATATTCCCCTAGAATCCATTTTCCACTCTTCACTGTCTAAGAGGACATCGAATTTATTCTTCCGGTTTACCAATAAAAAAGAAACAAGTTATCTTTCCGCGGTTACGATTGAATCACCTGAGGTCAAAGATGGTGAACATGACCAGACAATCCATCGCAATACCATGTGACTTTTCATTGATATGAGTACCTTGTTATTCGCTCGAATCTAATCTAATAATGCTGCCCAAGTGATGTGACCGTAGTTTGATGAAGTCGGTTTGTTGCTGTGCGGCCAATTCTCTGATTTGATTGTAGGACTGTGTTTACTTGTCCAAAGTTTCCGCCGTCTGATAGCTGCTGATCATTGATTTTTGCGTTGGGATGGGGCAATCAGCGTTGTGGGGACATCGAAGCAAGCTGTTGTGCATGGTGTCTTTGTGAGTACCTCGGCGCTGAATTCGTTTTCGCTATGAATTCGAATGTGTAAGCTG